TTACTCAACCTTGGGTTCCCTATCACCAGCTTCCTTGTCCCCTTCTGCCTTCTGGCCCTTGTCACTGGACTCCTGTACCTCGTTAGTCTCATTTGTAAACCAAAATTTATTAATATGCACAAATACCGGTGAAAAAGAAATGGATAATGGAAGAGTAGAAATTAAAATAATATCTGGACTTGGAGGGTCTCTGGTTCTTTGGATATTCTGTCTGTAGGGTCAAGGGGTGGTAATGTCTTCTTTCCTTCATTTACACCACAGATATTTTTGGAGTGATCACTAAATGTACTGGGGTTATTTTTCTTTTATAAGTAAAAAGTTCAGGAATATTCTCCTAAGCATATGTCCCCCTCCCCACTTTTTCATATAAGTAAAATCCCACAATTTGAGTCATAGCGCAAATTTCTCCAGATTATTCAGTTTTGGAAATGGATACAGTGAAAGTAGTTATGAATGTAAAGCAAAAGCTCCAGGATAGAGAAAAAAGTTAGCCGTGTAGACAGAAGAGTGATTATGTGTATGTGCTGGGCATATTGTCCAGGATTTGAAGGGACCTTGAGAGCCAAGCCCTCTTCCTCCACATTGGCCAGTATACAGATAACACATTTTGGACAGATTCAACTACTAGACAAACTATAGTTTGCTTTCCATCTGTTCCAAGTCACAAATTAAAGAACAATATGTAAATAGGAGATACATATCTCATGCAGAAGTAAAAGGGACAAATCATCTGATTTGGTGGGCAAACAGTTGACTATCATAGGCAATCGTCCTATTCCTCAGAATGGACCTGATTGACTCAGGTGTGGACCAGTGGAGGTTCAAAGAGCATCAAGGTATTAGACTGACGGTGGATGGCTGAGGCAGATCCTGCCTGATGTCAGTATCATACGAACGTAAGCTAAGATAAAAACAACAACAACAGCAAAACCCGTTGCCAGCCAGTCGATTCTGACTGAGGGACCCTATAGTGACTTAAATTTTCTTTTATTTAAAATTCATGTTGAGTACTGGAACAGAAAACTCTATTTTTGTTTGTAGAATTACAGTTTTCATCCTTGTAAATATTTTCATCCTCTTTCTCCAAAATATTTACCTTTAGGAAGCCCTCATAGCTAACTTTTTCTCTCATGGAATTAAAATATTCTAGAGTTTATTTCAGGCAGACTATGAGACCCTCAACACTAAGACCATGTCTTATTTACCTTTCTCCCTAGTACCTAGCACAGTGCTGGATACAGGGCAGGTACTCAATAAATATTTGCTGAATGCATATAGCAGTTGAGTAAGGTCTTCATGGAAGCAGAATCACATGCTATACGCTAGAGTAGTTCAGTGCTAAAAATCTTGTCTATGTATTTGTATGAGATTATTTCAATATATAACAGAGTGGATCAGGTGTGGAATTGTAACATACAATTAGCCCAATGCCATGACATGTTTTGATTTAGGAAACTTCAGCCTGCAGTCACACAATTTCACCCTTACGATGTAGATTCGTTGGTTAATTGTGTTGTTGCTAAGTGCTGTGGAATTGGTTCCGATTTGTAGCACCCTGCGTACAACAGAATGAAATGCTGCCTGGTCCTGCGCCATCCTCACAATAGTTGCTATGTTTGAGCCCATTGTTGGTTAATTACTAGCTTCAAATCTAGTTACCCAGCTCAGTTCTGTAATCATGATAACTTGGCTAATATTGTCCTTTTTAAAAACAAAGAAAATGTGCTTATTTTTCTAGTTCAGTTTCATAGTAGTTGAGTAAGTGGTTGATAATAACTTGCTCAAAAATACTAAATTTTTTTCTGATAGCAAGTAATTGATAATAAGCTTATGCCATCATTGTGGAGACCCCCATAAGTGTTTTAAATTTGAATGAGTGGAATGAGGCTTAGAAAAATTTTTTGGAATATTTAAAAAATCTTTTTGAGTAGAAAAATTACGTGTTTAGGTTTGACCTGTTGCTCTTGGATGGTAAGACTGAAGTCTGGGCATCTATGTGGAAAAAGATTTCTAGTAATCAGACTTTAGAGTCAGTAGGAAGTAGCCACTGGGTTAGTGCAAATGAGTCTGGGTCTAGACTCTCTCAGCCAATGTCCCTCCAGTGTTGTCTCGTGTCCAGCAGTCAGGAGCCTGTCCTAGGGCACACTCTAGAAAACTCTGACTTACCGGCACTGCAAAACTCACTCCTAAGAGGCATGAGATCAGTATCAGGTTCTTCATTTTGAAAAGTGGGATCTGAAACAGAATTGGGTTGGAGAAGTAAATCAGATGAATTTTTATTTCAGAAGGATTAAAAGATAGTATTTTAAATGAGTCTGAGTATCTCCTCTTCCAAAAACAATTAGGTTAAAAAAAAATCTAAACGTTGCTAAACAATTGATTTGATTTTTTTTACTGCTGAATTTATCAGCTTTTTTGGAAATGAAATGACAAGTGATTTAATTGACAAGCAACTAAGAAAGAGCTAAGCCCTTTGTTTATGGAGCTACAATCTAAATGAACATGTAGGAATAACCTCCATGCATATTCTTTTATTTTTATTTCTTTTTGGTGAAAATATGCACATAAAACAAACATAGATTCAACAATTTCTACATGTACAATTCAGTGACATTGATTACATTCTTTAAGTTGCATACCAATTCTTGCTATCCTTTTCCATCACCACTAAGATAAACTCACTGCCCCCTAAGCTTCTCATCTAATCTTTCGAGTTGCTCCTATTTCATACGTATTCTTTAAATACTATGTTTTAATTGGCAAAATGAACTATAAATTTTAAAATACCTTCTACTAAATAAGACATTATTAAGTATTGTTCATAGAAGTTTATACTTCGTTTTTCCTCCAGAGCAAATTTTGAAGCGCATTATGTAATATAACCAACAATTGTTTCATAACAAACCTTTATTTACAGACACATAGGGAATATCATTCTGTATTTAGGTTACCCAGATAGTCATGCCAAAATCTATCTTTTAAAGAAGAGAATAAATTGAATATTTTAATTTCCTTTGATACTAGTGGAAAATCTGTCTCAAAATTGATTTTCCACACATTTCTAAAATGAATTAGCTTACAAAATTTATTGTATGAATTCAAAGGCTCTTTATTCTTACATCAATGGATATCTGACTATTCAAGAGATTTACTCTCTCTAATAATTTTCTAAATTAGGCACTAATCACAAATAGTAAAAAAAAAGTCTGTAGATAAATATTTTTTGCTTAGCTGGAGGGTTATTAGGCATGTCTACTCTGAGACATGCAAATGGCTTACAATAAATTATTATTCAGCTTTTGTTAATACGTGATGATAAATTCTCTTTATAAAAGCTGCCTGGATATAAGAAAAAAGAACTTACAGGAAGCACATGTAAATCATAAAATCACATTTTACCTTCAATGCGGACATGCACTGTGCTCTCGGCCTGGTGATTCCAACCAAGATAAGGCTAAGAAAAGAAGATTTAAATTTTTTCTGGACTGTGCCTGGGACTTGCTCTGTACCTCTCACTCAGGGAAGATGAGAAACCTTTATTTAAAGTACCAATCCACCAATCAAAATGAAGCAAAACGAGGGAAAAAAAACCTCTGCTCCTGCAATTTACCCATACCCTTTTATTGCATGCAAGGGCATTTTCCTGGTAGAGTCTTATTATTTTTAATTGTAACTCAGCCCCTATATTTATTCAGGGAACTCAGTTGCAGGGGAGACAGTAAAGGAATAATGGACATGGGTTCTGAAGACAATCATTTTGGTGAGATGGCAGGGGGGAAATAATATGTAAAATAGGTGGAAATAAATCATTATACAGGTTTTTATCTGCAGATACAGCTAGTGACCTGGTGCCAGCATTCTCAAGATTTTCACCCTCATTTTTATTGTGGTAAAAGTAACTCCCTTCCCTCCCCTCAGCACACATCGTCTAAAAGGAAACACTTAAATAACTTTCTGGGGTTGAAAGAGAGGATGAAAATGTTAGATAGATAATGAATATGTTGTAATTTTTTCCCTCAGAATTTCCTAGATATTTTAATATCTGAGGATAATAGACTAAAGATAGTTAAGAAATTTGAATTGGACCCCATGAAAGGTGCACTTAAAGTAAACCTTCAGTGTGTGTTCTTTGTGGGGGAGGGGCATAAATCAGAACATTCTCCATGAAACAGTCAAATCAATGGGCACCACTATCAGTTTACTCTTTAGATAGGTCCATTTCTAGGGATTTAGTGTCAAGCCAGGTTTGGAAGTCATATTTGGGTCACTTGAAAGGCTACCATCAATATGGATGGATTTTTCTCTGTGAACAGAAAAAAATGTCTCGAATGTGGATTATCTGCTTTTGTTATTTTCTGCCCCTCCTTGTCTTTCCAAAGGTGTGATTTCAGACATGGCTTTTTAAGATCAGTTTCTTAAGAAAAGATGAGTCAGTACACTCTTTAGGGAAGTAGGAATGTTGCCAATTACAGCAAACATTGAGGAAGCTGGTATTTTGGGATAAAGACCGTTCCAGACTCAAATGTTGACCTAACAACTTCAAATGTTACTCAAGAAGCTATCCCTGAAAATCTCCATTTCCCATAGATAAAAGAATTATCTTTTGAATGAAAAGAAGTAAAGAATGTGGACATGCTTTGTAAACAGTAAAATGTTATTGAAATGAAAAGTATTGTTTTTGTCTTGTCCCTTGTTCTTTGTCTTGTTTTATGCCAGCTCCGGTGCTTGATCAGGTTCCTTAAACTCTCTGAGCCCTAGTTTCTTCCTCTGCAATAGAAACGTAGTCATTTACTACCACAGGCTTATTCTGAAGATTAGATGAGATGATGAAGATGTAGCAGCTGGCATACCGTGGGTGCTCAATAAATGAGTTGATTATCCTTTTGTGGGAGAAACTACATGAAACATGGGACCACAAGGACACCGTGTGTGTGTGTGTCTGTGTGTGTGTGTCTGTGTGTATAGGAGGAGGGATGCTGACAGTAAGGTCCATGAGCTCCAAGGAGGGCAAAGGAGGAAACATGTGGAAGGCATTTTATTTGTGTGGACATTGATGCTGAATCCCAGTTGACTGCTAGAGTGGGAAATATGGGGTATCTTTGATTGTTTATGAGCGTGGTTAAAAAAACACCAGTTATCCTCAAGTCTGTTCTGACTCATGGCAGCCCCATGTGTGTCAGAGTAGAACTGTGCTCCATAAGATTTTCAATGGCTGATTTTTTGGAAGTAGATCACCAGGCCTTTCTTCCAAGGCACTTTTGGATAGACTCAAACCTCTAATCTTTCTGTTAGCAGCCAAGAACTTTAACTGTTTAAGCCAGCCAGGGACTTCAATGAGCATGATTATGACATGCTAATAGTAATGTTTTGGTGGAATTCATATATTGTCCCTTGCTCTTATCCTAAGTATCCAGTACATCATATATATAGGGTTGCTGTGAGTCGGAATTGACTCGACAGCAATGGGTTTGGTCTTTTTTGGTTGCTTCTTCCTTCTTTTAATGTAATGTCCTCCACACTCAATCCTGGATTATCATCTTTCAGATGTTTACCCTTTAATTTCTTTCTCCTCCAATATCCTGCATACCAATGCCAAATTATCTTCCTAAAATACTGGCTTCAGCATTTCACTGTCCCAGTCAAAAATTTCTCAGGATCCCTAAAGCTTTAAGGTAAAGTTCACACTCTAACCAGGCAGTCAAATAAGCATTTCAATTCACCTTTCCAGTTTTGTCCCCCACATTTTGTGAAATACTATGCATTCATATAGCAGTGAATTTTGTGATCAGTTGAAGTGGGTTTCATTGTGCATCAAGTAAACAGTTCTTCAGCCTTGCCTTATGTGATGTATCCTACTGGTAAAGTTAGTAAATATAATCCTAAAACATCCTACAGAAAGGGTTTTAATTATAGAGACATCTGGAAAATAGTATGAGTATATATATGAATGAGTGTTTGATAGTAATTAAGGATGTTAAGGAAGTTACGGAAGCTGATGGAAACCACGTTCATGTTGATCAAGACTGTACCTGCATGGAGAACAACCACAGCACGAATACCAACAATGCTTGTGCCTACAGTGCTGCAAAAATAAAATAACTCAGGGTTACAGAAGATCTGAGCCACATGAGGGGTCATATACCACTGGAAAAGTTATGAAGAAAAATCTAAAGAAAAAAAATCCTGAGGAAGGCGATATTATAGTGGCTGAGAGCACAGCTGTTTAAATCCCCTCTCAGACACTAACTGATTATGGGATGTCAGTTAAGCTATTCAACCTAAGTTTTAATCTTTCATCTGTGAAATGTGGCCTACCATGGATCAGCATTAATGTAATGTAATTTCAATGTAATAACGACTATAAAGTGCTCAGCACACTATCTGTATACAGAAAATGTTGAATGGATGTAAATTAGTATTGTTCTTGTTAAAATAAACATGTACGTTGAAAATCTGCTTCAAATGCGGCTATGTGGCTTGGCTATGCCTATTCCAGCCAACTGTGGCAACTATAACTACTATTCAGTGTAGGAACGGTTTTGATTGCTTATGGGTGTGTAGATTCTATGTTATAAAAGGACTTTGGTTTTTGCTTTGTTTTGACACATTGTCCTTTTTGACATTCTTGTCCAGCCAGACTTGTTTACTCACTCTCCTCAGAACACGCAGTGGAATTTTTCTTCATGGGGTTTTGCTTGAGCCTTTCTCTCTGCCTAGACTCTTTTCTCACCTCTTCACAATTTGTTTTTCACAGCCCTACCCCAAAAAAAAGTCTGATCCAAAGCCATGGTCTTTTCAATCACCTCATATGCTTGTGAAAGGTGAACAATAAAAAAAGAAGACAGAAGAAGAATTGATACATTGAATCACGGTGTTGGTGAAGAATAGTGAATATGCCATGGACCACCAAAAGAAGCGAGGTTGGCAAATTTGTCTTGCTTACTTTCAACAAGTCACCAAGACAGATCAATCACTAGAAAGGGCATCATGTTTGGTAGAGGGTCAGCGAAAATGAGGGAAACCCTCAGTGAGATGGATTGACACAATAGCCGCAAGACTGGCTCAAACATATCAAAGATCATGAGGATGGCACAGGACCAGGCAACGTTTCATTCTACTATACATAAGGTCGCCATGAGTCAGAGCCGAGTCGATGGCAACTAACAGCAACAAATGTTCTAGGCTCTGGGCTTTTATTTCACTTAATCCCCATGAGGCACGTACTATTATTATTGTCAGTGTTTCATAGAAGAAACTGAACTGAGCAGGTCACATAGCTAGAAAGTGGAGTCTGGATTCATCTCAGATCTATCTAATTTAAAGCTAAATTCTACCAAGAGATTTTAAATTTCTCAGCAGAAAGGAGCTAAATGTATAAACGGAGGTATTATTAATTGGATGTTTGCATTTCACTGCAATTTAACAAGAAGTTGAAATTGTTCACATACTCATTAAACAAATGAGCATCTGAAATGTACCAGGCACTGTTTTAGGCACTGAAAAGAACTAAAAGTGACCAAAATGGACAAGAACCACTTACTGAGCTCACCTACTAGTTGAGCAAACAGACAACAAACAACGTAAATATATATAAAAATATAACCTATATAGCACGATAAGTGTTAAGGAGAAAACATTAAGCAGAAAAGGGGATAGGAAATGTTGAGTGTTGAAATTTTAGGTAGGCGGCCATGGAAGGTCTCAATGTGAAGGGGACGTCTGGGTGAAGACCTGAAGTGAGTGGAAGGCCATGTGGCTATCTGGGGGAAGTGCATCCCAAGCAGAGGAAACAGCTAATTTACAGAGAGATTGTTCCAGGTATGTTTGAAGATCAGTGATGGAGGCCTGTCGTTGGTGAGGATTGAATGAGAGAGTTCTGGGAGATGAGTGTAAGACCTCACGGGGAACATCGAGAACTTTGGCTTTTACTCTGAGAGAGATAGGAAGCCACTGGAGGGTTTTGAGTAGAGCAAGTAGATGATCTGACTTAATGTTGAATAGGAACACTCTACCCAGGCTTGATAGACTGAAGAGGGACAAAGGTGGAAGTACAGAGATGAGTTAGGAGGGACTGCAGGAATCTAGGTGAGAGATTATGATGGTTTGGTCCAGAATGGTTAACAGTGGAAGTGGTGAAACATGACTGGATTCTGGTTATTTTTCAGGGTAAAACAGGTAGAATTTGCTGATGGAATATATATGGGTTGTGAGAGAAAGAAGGAATCAAGGATGGCATAATATTTGCCAAAAGCATTTATATCTCACTAATTTGGATGCCATTCATTTTTAAATGCAGCTATCTGGAACATATTCAAGAACTCAGAAATAAGCAAAAATGTCTCTTCAAAGCCACTAAAACAGAGAGCATATAGCACTAAAACGCATGTATTTTACTCACAAGAGATTTTCTTAGT